AACCTGAGAGCAATGGCCTCCAACCTAAGAGCAATGGCCTCCAACCTAAGAGCAATGGCCTCCAACCTGAGAGCAATGCAGGTCCTGTGGTGAATTCCAAGTATTCCGAATGGCCTCCAACCTAGAGCAATGGACTCCAACCTAAGAGCGATACAGGGCCTGTGGTGAAGTCAAGTATTCAAATTCAACTTTGCTTTCGTATCATGTCAATCGTCGTGGTTGCAATAATATTCCCATGGGAACGGTGGAAAGGAATGCAGGAGTGGCCAGCCTCTACTTTGCGTGGGACCAAGGTGGACTTGAAGAATGCCTATGCGAATGGAAGACTTCTGAAGCGTGGACCGATCTATGGCTATATGTTCCAACCCCGTGTCTTGTCGCAGTCAACTTTCCAACCTACCAGTGGCCTCCAACCAGCGATGGCCCGAGGGACGGCCTGCCCGCGCTTTTGAAAGCGGCTGAGGCTGGTGTGTTTTGACCAACTCGCAGCTCATTATCTACAAAGACGTCTCTTGATCGCAGAAACGAAGATAGTGGAAACAAAGATAGACGGCAAGAGTGGGGCAGGGAATTCGCGCGAGATGCACTGACGTGACTTGCTCATGCTGATGATGGCCCTCATCGAGTCACAGTAACAGCTGCTCGCAGCTTAATACCTGACGTGTCCAAGCATGGGAGACATAGCTACACCCCTCCATTGGTGCTTTTCTTTTGCAAGCAGGAGGCGTACGGCGTAGGTTCATTACTTTTATTCTATTGGGGGGCTGTCCAAGCCAAAGTGAGATACATCACGGCGTTGCATTGCTTCCTCAGATTGATGGGGGTGTGCCGATGATGTTGCGGCCACCATCAGTCCACAAATGGCCCACCTGCCATTTTGACTCTTACTGCAGGGGGTTTGCGAAACATGCCACATCAATCCCTTGGGGAGCTTCAGTGAGCTTCGTTGACTGAGGAGCATCTCAGTCAACGCCAAAGCGCCGAACGCTTCACAGAGCAGATGACAGCCACACGCTTCAGCTGTCACGATGCCCCTGGGGAGGCAGAGTGGGCAAAGAGGATGGCCTCCAACCTAATAGCAATGAAGAAGTGGTGAAGCAACGCGTTCTTGGCGTTTTGTTCCAACAGACATTCGTGTCATGGGTAAATAAGTAGGGCTAACGCCCTGGTGCCGCCGACTCCTTTTTTGGGGGGGCAAGGATCGAGAAGGTCTTTGAAGGCCCGAGTGCCCAACCCACTCTCTCTAGCGTCGCTTGTGGAACCAGAAAAAGAGGTGCGGACCCCCGTAGCAGCAGCCCAGGTGATGGCCACAGGCCGGTCCTGCTGCCCTGTAGACAGCCCAAAAAGGGTTGGTGTCGCCACGCCCTTCCCCCATCTATTTCTGCGCGCAAAAGCAGTCGGAGAGGGTGCCCAGCAGCCGCCACTCTCTCTAACGTCGCTTTTCGAGCCCTATAGAAAAAGAGGTGCGGGACCGCATAGTAACAGCCCAGGTGACGGTACAAGCCGGTCGGAACTGCGTGGCGGGTGCTGGTCCAGCTGCCCCTAGCTGCAGGCGTGGTCCCGGAACCTGCAAGGCTCTCGCTGCGCTGTCCCGGGCGCCGCCCCGCCTAGGCATCGGCTAGGTCAGGGTCGGCGGATTTAAGTTGGTGACAATTATTCGGAGCGCAGGTAGTGACGGCTTGCGGCTAGTGAGTTAGTAGGAACTGTTAGTTGGAAGTTGGATTGCCTTCAGGCTGTGAAACATAAGTCTGAGAAGCCTTACGGCCACTTGGCAGCTCACTTTGATACTGCAGAGAATCGGGTCATCATACATCACAGACATTTGTGGCTTTCTCGCTAATCCTTGCGCAGGATTTGTTTTCGACTCCGTTCCCCTCGCTGGAAAGGCAAGGAAGCTATCCTACTTCGATGTAGCTCGGGAGAATTAATGTCATGGCCTGTGTGAACATGCTGACTCAATAGCGATGACCTCCAACCTCATGGCAAAAATGCTGTGCGATCAGCAAAAGACCCTTGCGCCATCAGCTAAGGCCGAGAATGAGGTTCCTTGACTGCAATGTTGTGGCTGTCCACACCTTTGCTGTCTCGGCTGTGACCCCCCGTTGCGTGTGATTGAGGAGATGCTGACGCAATGGCTGCAAGCTTTCAAGCAGGCTGCCAGCGCTTGGCAAACACATGTCTGCCAGCTTTGAAAGCAAAAACATCAACAGGTTTTTTTTGGACATTTCCACGTGCAACTTCAATGATTGGGCATGCTGTGCCTTACGGCGCAAGCCCGTCTAGTATTTTTGCTGTTAGGCCGCTCTACGTCGAAAGGAGGCAGGGACATTTGGTGGTGGAACTAGCCTCCGCCATACAATTTTGATATTCAGCTCGACATTTCGCACACACCAACGACGGTCTTGGCAACTGTTGTCCAGTGTGAACCCCGTGTGCATAGAGATAGTCCAAAAATACTAGTTCGCCAAGTGTGAAGTGCATTTTAGCCAAGATGTGTCCCACATGTTTCACTTCTGAGGCTGTAACCTTACATTTCTACGACATGGTGATGGGCTCCACTCAAGGTGCAAAACCTGAATCCACCTCACGCGACGCGCTGGTAGGTTGGCAGCCATCGCTAGTAGGTTGGAGGCCATTCCTATTAGTAGCACCAAAGAAGTTTGTGTGTTTTCTGTTAGGATACAGGTAGGTATGCGGTCTTGAGGCGAAGGCTCCGTGCAGCCCTTGGGCACCGGCAACTTCCACGTGGGCATCGAAATCAATGGTGGGTGTCTCAGTGCATCTCAGTGCCGTAGTAGTCCTAGTAGTCCCTCTCTTGTGTCCCTCAGCCAATGTGTGGCAAGTGCATTTTCTAAAAGACTCTTGTTTCCCATGTCTCGGAGGTTTTGAATGGAGCTACGGCTTCAGTGAACTCGGCACAGGCGGTTCAAAACCAAATGAACAATGTGTCCTGCAGGTCACACAAGACGCCTGTGGTCTTTGGGCTTCATGCCCTTCGCTTCACACAAAAGCACCATTGAAAAGCAAGCAGCAGCAAGAAGCGCAATGCGTTTGTTGCCTGTATTTGGGTGACTTTGTCAGTGCTGTCCCAGGTGTTTTTTCGAGCAAGCCGACCCACTGCGTGCCACACAGCTATCGAGCCTTTGATCCAGGTTATAGTAGTGATCCAGTAGTGCCAAGAGATGTCCGTGTATGTAAACAACTCTCTTCATGAAGCCAGGTACAACCCAAGGCCTTAAGATGCTTTATATAAGGTTTTGTAAGTTTTGCCGACGCCTTGGACCAAGGAGACGCAGTGGAGTTGGGATACTCGACATTGAACGAAAGCGAGATTGAGGAACACATATCCAAACTGAAGGACCAATGGCCTGGCTCTAGCTACGAATCTTGGCAAGGTTCAGGTGGTGTTTCTTGTTGTTGCGTGAAGAGCGTAAAAACACACTTTATGGATGAGACCATCCTGCACTTTGCTCTACTACCAGCAACGGCCTCCAACCTGAGAGCGATGGCCTCTGCTAAGGATCTCCTGAAGAACAACTGTAGCAATTTCTGCCATACACTTTGCGAAGCTCTTGGAGTTTCGTTCCTCGCTGCAAGAGCCTTTCAATGTCGGAGTCAGGTTTCGGAGTTTGGGGAACTGGACGTTGTGAGGGTGATGGAATGCTTGGAAAACAGTTTCCACACCAAGGATTCCCCCTTGGATCCTGCGTTTGTCTTCAGCTGAAGTGCTGGGACAAAATCTGCCTGCAGAGAAGGCATTGAGATAGAGAGAGAGAGAGAGATAGAACAAGAATTATTTGCTCAAGTTTGGGCTCAAGGTTCAGGTGGTTCCGGGTTGGCCCCTGGTGATGGAGGAGGGAGCTGGTACTTCTACCTTGCGTATACCCCGGACTGTTCCTACCTGGCGGGTGTCCTTGCCCTTCCTAGCAATTGAGTTTGAGGAGATCTTCGACCTGGCGCAGGACGCCTTCGAGCTGGTCTCCAATGGATGGGATGGTTTCAGCGGGGTGAAGACCCGACGCAGGTATCTGCGTGCAAGTTCATGGATCTGGGCGTCACTGACACTCGGTGGTGTTGTGATCGTTGTGGAGAGTGCTGGCCAAGATCTGGAGATTGCTCTCCTCAACAGGCAGTCAGGAAACCACGACATGAGAGAACGAGGAAGATTGAGGCTCCACCAGGCCTTGGAGGCAAAGAGAGGAAGCGACTTCCTTGGCAGAGGATGTGCGCAAAGCCTGCAATCTGTGGGTATTGACTACTCCCCGAGCCCTTGGAATCAGTGCTGAAGGCCCATTTGCAATCCCTGCCAGGGGAGGTCAAGTCAGCGGTAAGCTGAAGGCGACGGTTGGTGAGCTTCGACAAATGTGGAACAAAAAGGTAGGATTGCAGAAAAGAGTTGACACTGCCAAGGAACAATACAAGCTCCTGCTAGATGAGCTCAACACCGTACAGGAGTTGATTGACAAGGAGCAGCAACAACTCACGGCACAGTTCGAAGCCTATGCCAAGATCCTCAAGGAAGAGACGAAGGAAGCTGCAGACGAAGAGCTTTCCGATGTAGATCAAGATGCCAATGACCATGTGCTCACAGCTCTGGCGCAGGTTGGCATTCTGTACACGGACTCGCAAAAATCAGAGCTAGAGAGACATCTAGCTGAGAATTTGCTGAAGTGCCGCAAGAAACCCAGTAGTCAGGGTAACCCTGGAAGCGGGCCAAGGCCTTCTCACCATTCGGAAGTGGAAAATTGGCAGAGTGAATGGCAAGTAGACTTGGTCCTGGCCATCACCACAGTTAGGCACGGCTGGTCATCGAAATTGCAGCCTTGGGGATTCTCAAGCAATTGGGAATGTTTGAGTTTTTGGCGATGTGGGGACTTCATGCGAATGGCTGGTGAAGAGGTCATGCGTGAGCTTTGTGAGCTGCAGCAACGGCAACATGCTCAGGGTTGGGGAGTTTCCTCAGGAAAGCTTGTCTGCGCATGATGATGCAATGCGCTTTCAGTGTCAGAGTGGAGCCACTGCAACCACGCCTTGCTTTTGGCCTCAAGGACTGCAGCCGCCGTGTGGCGGTGTGGGCGAGTATTTTGCAGAGCCTTTCAAATCCGACGCAATTCAAGGTGTTGACGCCCGCTTGACTTCTGTCTTAGCTCCGGCTTTGCCAATGGCGTTGAAAAGCGATGGAGAAAGAAGTAGAGCAAGTTGTGTACAACAAGATTTTGACGAGGATGAGACCGCAACAGGTCTTGACCGTGGCAATGGGACTGTTGCTGACAGCGTGCCAGAGGCACCAAGCTTGAGGAGCACGGAGCGGCTGGGGAAACCTGGAACTACTGTAGGCGGGACCTCTGACCATGTCCACAGCTTCTGGAGGAACAGAAACCAGAGATAGATTTCTCCGTTTTGGCAGCTCCTTAAAAGTGGCAAAAGGGGGAGAACTGATGAAGATGCATTGTTGGAAGACGCCTGGGCAACTTCAGAATCGGCTTGAAACTCTGCACGCTAGGGCCTTGGAGGCCATTAGAGCATTGCCGGCTTCGCTCAGAGATGATCTAGAGTCTAGAGTTTGGAAAAGTTGAGACCCGAGTTTGGGGACTTGAGCCATTGAAGCATGTTTCGAGAATGAGAACGGCGCTTCAGAGCAACCTGATGTTGTGCAGACCTGTGGAAGGAGATGTCCATATTCCACCGGCCGTAGAGTTGCAGGCAGCCAATCTCACGCTCAACATCAACAACAAGGGCAAGCGATGTTATGCGAACGCAGTGCTACGCATGTGGTGCTGGATGGGGGCGCATCGCGGATCGCAAAAGAGGTTCGTGAGGTTGAAGAGATGTTGACCCAGCTTCAAGGCGAATGATCCTTGGCTGGAAGACTAGGTGTGGTTGACGTTCCAGCTTTTGGCCATGATGGCCGCTGGAAGCGGTTGGTGCAGCAGATATATCTGATATATTTGGCTTTTGCCTTTCAGGGTGCCGGAAATGCCGGGCACCTTGGGGGGGGGATCGCTTGCGTCACGGGGCCTGTTTGACACCTCCGCTTTGGCCTGGGTGCCGCGGATGGGGAGGAGATGCTGACAGAAAGAACCGAGAACAAAACAATATATATTGATATAGATGCACGCACAGAGAGAGAGAGAGAGAGAGAGAGAAAGAGTCACATGGATAGTTGCTTGTTTCAGATTCAGATAAGCATCGCTATTAGGTTGGAGGCCATTCCTATTAGGTAAGGTCAGAGGTATTAGGTTGGAGGACATTCCTATTAGGTTGGAGGCCATCGCTGTTAGGTTGGAGACCATCGCTATTAGGTTTGGAGGCCATTGCTACTAGGTTGGAGGCCATTGCTCTTAGGTTGGAGGCCATGGCTATTAGGTTGGGAGCCATCGTTATAAGGTTAGGGGCCATCGCTAATAGGTTGGAGGCCATGGCTCTTAGGGGAGGCCATCGCTAGTAGGTTGGAGGCCACTGCTCTTAGGTTGGAAGCCATTGCTGCTATGAGGGCATCGTTCTTAGGTCGGAGGCCATCGCTGTTAGGTTAGAGGCCATCGCTCTTAGGTTGGAGGCCATCGCTTTTAGGTTGGAGGCCATCGCTCTAAGGGGGAGGTCATCGATGTTTGGTTGGAGATTCAGACAGATGGTGTTTTTCTAGAGGATCCTTAAGACCTCGTGTGGGCGGAGTTTCTGTCAGCGAACCTTGCCAGGGCCGTCGCGGGCGTGGGTCTGCCATCATCATTGCTGCGCAGGTGGGGCTTGGTTAAAACGGCATGTGGCCCGATCCTTTGTGCTGGATTCCACAGTCACCTTTTTTTGGTTTTCAAGGCTTTGGACCAGTGATTCTCCATTATTTTAGCATTGCTGGGAACTAAGCCTTACCCTCCATGGAACTGGTGAAACTTGCTGCCCGACCCAGGATTCTCGCATCTTTTTGAAGGTGCTTGGACGATCCGCTTCTTGGAAGCTGGAGCCGCTGGCCTTGTCAGCGTGAGTAACGAATTCCCACTCCGAATCTTCAAAGAAGGTTGCCCGGGGTTTGAGATAATGTCCACTCAGAGCAGGCCTTTTTTAACGAGGAACGCTCAGAGTACCTGTAGCTGAATTCCAAGATCATTTTACAGAGTGGTCGCTCTACGCGTGAATTCCACAGTGTTGGATGCTTCTGTCAGGAGAACGACTGCTTAGAAATTGGTCTGGAAGATGTGAGGGTGTTACAAAGGTGTTGGCATGGAACCAAAGGTTCATGCCACTGTGGACCTTGCCAAGTGACCAGATTTTCAACCATCCGGCCTTGGATCGCGATGACATGGGTTCACGTCCCAACCAGATCCCGGAATGACATGCCCTAGTAACAAGAAGCTACAAGGAACAAGGTGCGTAGCTATTGGTAGCTAGTTTGCTACTAGTTGCTGCTGAGGTTTGTTGACTCAGCAGCCTGGAGCATCCGTGCCAAGAAGGTCTGGGCCTTTGAGTATATCCAACGTGGCTGCTGGGAAGGTTCCAACTGAGTGTGAGTTTTGTGCTTTCATGATGTGCTGCAACTAGTCGAGAAAAAGAGGTCTAGCCACGGCTGGGGTTTGGAACGAGGTAACGAGGCGATTGGCCTGGTTGCGACACTTGGAGACGCTCTTGGCCTTCCTTGGTGGTGGAATTTGGATGGCCAGGCACCAAGGGAGCGTGGTGCATCCAGCCCAAGTGGCAGCCAGATGCAATGCAGGATACTGGCAGGATACTGTCCTGTCAGTATCTGTCAGTTTCCCAAAGATCTAGGAGTCAAATC